TCCTCCTCCTCCTCCTCTTCCTCCTTCTCCTCCTCCTCCTCCTCCTCCTCCTCCTCCTCCTTCTTTCTCTCTCCCTCTTGCTCTCCTCTCTCTTTCTCTCTCCCTCTCTCCCTCTCTCTCTCTCTTCCTCAGTCTTTTGCTGTTGTTGATATCCCCAGATTATTCTCAGGTGAATTGTCTTTTTTTCCCAGTTCTCTGTATAATCCATATCTGTCTTTTTTTCCCTCTTTTTTAATTGATTTTTTAAAATACTCAACAGCAGAATGTATTGCGATTCTTATTACACATATAGAGCACAATTTTTCATATCTGTCTTAATGCATCACTTAAAGTCATTCCTTGACTCATCTTTTGTATCTATTTACCCACTCTTTACATCTGCCTTGAAAACATCTGCATTCACATTAAGCATATTGGTTGTGGCTTCAGGTGTTCAATTATCCATTTGACAAATATTTTAAGCACCCCCACTCTACCCCAAGCTCTGTGTTGATGCCAAGGATACAATGGAAAAACAAGCAGGTTTGTTTTCTGCTTGGGAGGGGTTTATAGCCAGAGACACAAAAATAAGCAAGCAATTAACAGTGCGCTAAGAGTCGGCATCATAAAGCATACATTGTAAGAAGCCACAATTTCTTTTTTAAATATTTTTTTTTTATTTTTTTGTTGTGGTTGGACACAATACCTATTTTTTATTAATTTACTTTTATGTGGTGCTGAAGATCGAACCCAGGGTCTCACACATGCTAGGCGAGCACTCTACCACTGAGCCACAACTCCAGCCCCAAGTCACAATTTCAATGTCTAGTATACACATGATATCCACTGAGGACATAGTGCTCCACTTTCATGATGTTTGATTATCAGTGTAAAGTAAAAAGAGATAAAAAGAAGAAATAAAAGAGATAAAAAGAAGAAGGATGACACCTCCATTTCACCAAATGTTATTATATTGCAGAATTAATTCTGTAATGCTGAAGTATCCCTCCACTACATTAGATATACTGAATCTTTCTTCAGTTTTTATTATATATTTATTTCATTCCATTTAAAGTTTTTTTGTGTATCTATTGTGTGTATCTCTAAGGTTCCTCAAAGCCTGTTTTGATATAAGGAAGGTTAATTAATTAATTAATGTTGCCTCTATGTAGAAGCAATAGCATGGATAGTTTGTTTTCAATCATAAAGACAGCCATCTACATCTTCAAATTATTGTGCCAATGTACACAGAACTTCAGACTCTTTTTCTCTTGTGAAAAACCTTGGCCCTTGGACTGCCATACTGCTAGATCTGTATTTGCATTGATTTCTCCTCCTTTGCCTTTCAGGCCTCTAGCTTCTCTCACAGCTCTTGGTAGGAGAAGAGCTCTTCAAGGGGTCTCAAAGCTCCCTTTTCAAGCACAACTCTGATCATGTCTGCCTCCTGATTTCAGAAATCAATCTCAAAAGCTCTTTATTGCTTTTGGGGAGAAGGCCAACTTTTATTTATCTTGTATCCTTAGGACCATGCATAGACCTGGAATGTGGTTGTCAGCCCATGAACATTCTCTGAATGAACTGAGTTACATTAAATAGTGAATGTATACACAGGCCTTAATAGAGTACCTGATTCAAGGCACACAATAAATGTTTACTTCTCAATCACTTTCCCTTCATACCTGGCTTCAATCTGTCTTTATCACTTCATGTTCCTCTACTGTGGCTTTAGGCACCACTGATTCGTAATTTTGTGCATACAGCATACATTTCTGTGCCTGTGGAAGCTTCATCATGCTGTTATTTCTTATCACAGTACAATCCCTTCCTTAAGTGCATCATCCTTGCCCAAATCTTGCAAACAGAAATCACATTCCTGGTGATGCTAGTCCAAGGCTCCTAAATAACAAGTCAAGACTTTTATATTTAGATACTTTGGCTTGGGTATTTGGGCACCCTTCAAAAGAAACACTTTCAACCACTCTATTAGATTAACTGCAATTACATTCCTTGAAAATGAATTAAAACATACTTTCATTTATTGAGACAAGCATCACTTCTTATATTCAAAATAATTTTTAAACGATTGGTCAATGATTAAACTTTTAAACTCAGATGGATAGTTTTTATACATATATACCCAGTGTTTAACATTTTATTACATTGCCCCCTATAGGAAGTCTAAAGTACATTTTAGAATTTTTTTCTAATCAAAAGAATGGTTGATTTATTTTACATATCTCATGAAAACTCAATTCAAGGCTAAGGACATTTGCAATTCCCCTATCCACTTCCACATAATTTTTAAAATGTGAAAGCCACAAATGGTACTATTGGTAGTAATACTAGGATAAGGAGTAGAAGTATCTTCAGGTTGAGGAGGAATAAACAAAGATACTCGGGCAATGTTGGATATTTCGGATTTAAGATTAGCCTTATCAACAGCCTGAATAGCAATGAAGAGATCCGTGCCATTTTCAAAAGTGATATTTTCCGGTTTGAACACAAAGACTTCCTCTGAGTTGGCCTCCTTTGGAATGAGATGAGTAGTGTTCACTTGAACTGAAACACTGAAATTGTCTCTGAGGTCAAGAATACTTGTACTTATTCGAATGATATACTTGTGAGCTAAAAAGAAAAAGAGAAAGAGGATGTGACTTGTAATTCTCAGATCTAGAAATTCTATCACCATCCCCAAAAGTTCCATGAATAAATAAAACCAATGGTCTATATTTACCAGGGTTAATATCCCTTTTACATTCTTGTTTGTATATCTTGACAAAGTAATAAATATAAAATTGGATTGGTCATGGCTTTAAACCTTGGTGAGCCTTTCTAGGCCTAAGGCTTGGCTGAGAGAAGCACTGTTTAATTATTGCTTATTGTTTTAGCATTTATAGTGGGGTTTTTGATACCAATGCTTCTCAGATGTCAATGTGCATATAAATCACCGAGGGATCTTAAAATGCAGATTCTGGTTCATTAAGTCTGGGACAGAACTTGAGACTCTATATTTCTAACAAGTGTCCCTGTGGTGCCCATGCTGCAATCCACAGCTCACACTTTGAGAGGCAAAGTTGGGTAGGACTTGAGATTTCTTCGAAAGGACAGTTCTACTCCATAGATATTTATGCTCTAATCCTAGTCCTTCTCCAGGAATCACTACTGAGAATGGGGTTTCTTAAGAGATAGTTTGGCAAGTTTTCAGAGGGGAAAAAACCAAAACAATACAAAGTTTGCCTTTCTTGGCTGAAACTTTTATGTTTAGATAATTTGGTGTGGGCATTTTGGGGCATCCTTCAAAATACAACAAAAACTTGGCAACTCTGCTAGAAGTTACACAATTGCATATCTTTTTTTAGCTGGCAAACTTCCTGAAAATGAATTAAAACATACTCCTATTTATTGATAAAAGCACCACTTCTTTTTAGATTTAAAATCATTATTAAAAGACTGAGTAATGACTAAACTCAGCTTTTCAAAAATTTAAACCACTTTTTGAAAAATCTTTACCTTTCATTTCAGAGGACATTCGAAATCCCCCAATCTTCTGCTGCCCTCTTCTGCATCCCAATACACTTGCCTTCATCCCCTCCTTCTGTACCTCAGCTTGTCTGGTCAAGTCCTTTTCAGGGTCCACCTCATGTTCAGCTTACCTTGTCCCTGATCGTAATCATCCCCAGGAGCCGTCCAAGTCAGGTTAATGAGACTGCCCTCTTGGATTTCTGCCTTCAGGTCAGTGATTTGACAAGGTGGGAAGAGGTCAGGAATGGAACCACTTGGGACATTGGAAGCCACAAATGAACCTCCTGAAGATGTTCTGCTGAAACACACTTGCTCCTCTTGAGAAGTATTGTCACTAATTTCATCTTGTGGTATATTCCATTTTATTTGACCTGTATTTTAAAAATTACTCAAATTATGGGAAGCAACATCACTCCCTCTCTTTTCTTACAGGATTACCCTCTTCCTGCTCTTCCTTTACCCTTCTTTCCTCTCATACACAATATTCACTTTCAGTGTATGGTCACAAGACTCCAAATTAGGATGCACAAGAGAGAACAAAGCAAAGAGAGAATCACATTTCTTTATCTCACAGATATTTCCTGGATATGTACTGCAGTAATCTTTTAGAATTTATTTTAATAACATTAGTCCTTAAACTGTCTCTTTTTTTCCAATTTTCTGTCCATCCTGATCTTACCCTTGCACAAGGTCAGTTTAAATAACTCTGTCTTAAACCTAACTACTTTAGGACATCTCTTTACCTAGGCAATACTATGAGCTTCATAATCTTTCCCCTTTATATGGTAATGGATCATCCAGGCCTTTAAGAATTGCCTAGGTTCTAGGCATTTTCTTTTACTTTCTCCATATTTGTATTTTATCTTTCTTATTTGATACAGTATTTCATGAAATGTTTTATATTAGGAATTCCAAATTTTATGCTTTGAAAGGCTCTTAATTTTCTCAGTGAATGCCTGGGAACCTTATTCTTTAACAATCCCAATTTCTTTCACATTCTTTTTATTGTATAAAAGTAACCCTGGGATTCAAAACTACCCATCTGCTCAGTCAAAGGGGTTCTCAAACTCTCTTTTCAATGCAAACATTCCTACATTTTAACACGCTATTACTCAGAATTTACTTTCTCTCAAACTCCACTTCTTTAGTCCTCAAAAATTTTACCTATAAAAACAGATTTATCTTCATACCCATTACTGAGTCTTGAGCAAAGACAATTTAGATCCTTTGGCAGATTCAAATAAGTATTTGATTCACCAATAGAGACTTGTTCTTGGTATTGAGTCTTATTAAGGGATAGAGAGAAGAAGATTGCTTCCAAGTGCCACAACAGGCATTATCACTGTTACTTATTTGAGCCATAACCTCTCTAACCTCTGTTTCCCCATCTGTGAAAGGAATACTCAGAAGGATGAAATATATTGATGTGAGTAAAATACTATGATAAGTCTGGAAATAGCCACTAAATCCATCTCCTCTTGTCTTCTTCCCCTAACTCAAAAAGAAGGGAAAACATGAATAATATAGGTAGAAATCTATGAAATAACCTTGGAAACAATGGTATCTTTCAAAGCATATTTTCCCTATAAAATCACTTTGTCAAAAGAATATCACATATCCTAGGACCCCCTTCACTGTGCACACACCTAATAAAAGAGGCAGGGAAGCTTCTTGGAGAAGCTGTTCTCCTTCCTCCATATAGGTGTCAGGAAAAGGCCTGCCCAGAGCTCAGTGGACATGGGTGGAAAGCAAGTCCTAAAAGCCATTGGACTCAGTCTTGGTCCCCATCCCGACTCTTATTTGGGGCAAGTATGTGTAACCCATAGTGGTGTGGGACTGTTTCAAGGATATGATTTTCCCAGTGTGCTGCCCAGTGTCAGATTTATCTACTCTTCTCCCTGCTCCTGATATGAGCAGTGGGTAGGAGGGGAGATATGGGCTTATGGTTGTGATACTGATGTACACAACAAGCCCTGAACTATACTTTTTTTTTTAATTTTATGGGAACACTAATGTCAAACGAAAGGGCTTTCTTAGGAAATGTTTTTAAAAAATTATCTTGAAAATAATAAAACACAAACACTTAACTATTTGCTAGCAATAGCACATTAGGTTTATTTCCTTATTTATTCCTCATTACCATTATCTGAGGCAGTTACCATTACTATCTGTTTACAATAGAGGAAAGTGAAGCACAGAGAAGATTTATACTTTATTTGGCACAGGACTGAAATTTGAACCAAAGCAATCAAAAGCTGTGTTATATCTAGTGGTTTTCAACCTGGGGCTATTTTGTCCCCTTGGAGAAAAATGATGATTGTCCTGATTTTACTGACACCTAGTGGGTGGAGGCCAAGGATGCTGCTAAACACCATACAATGCACAAGACAATGCCCAACAAAGGATTATCTGTCAATCAAGCCAAAACTGAGAAACCCTGAGTTAATCTGGCATTATTCTGCTTCACAGGTTTAATGATTTCCTCTTGACCCCAAGCCTTTTACCCAAGTGAGATGTGCTACTACAGATTACCTACCATTCTCAATCCAGCCAGGTATGTACTTGGCTCCATTCTGATGAGGAATTGCTCTCTGTCTGGCTGCAGTAATTCCTCCCAGGACCCATATTTTTACACTATATCTTCCATTTGCATCATAATTTGTAAAGTACCTTGAGTAGACACCATCATTCTTAGTAGCATCAGCCCCTTGACAGGGAAACAGAGGAATTAATGAATATCTTAAAGGTGAGCATTTGTATATTTTCAGTTCATGTGCGGGTTAAAATTTTTCAAAGCAGAGGGAAATTCAGCATTATCTCCAAGAGACCTTAAGATTTATATGTGAAGGATGAGGCCTACTGCTTTTACCACTGTACATGGTTGATGTTCACATGTGTACCTGTGCGCACATGTGTTTGTATGGTTTTATTATGTACACCTCTGTCCCTGAATTGTTCTTTCTTTTTGAAATCATACATTGTATCATGTGTCTCTGTTATACTCAACATAGCACAAGCTAGTTACTCAGTATGTGTTAAACCAAATTGAACTGCTGCTGAACCAAACTGAATTGCTGTAAATCATGTGTGAGTAAAATGTGTGAAATAATTACTTAATAAAACTCATGACTTCTCCCCAAGGTAGATTTAGGTGGGAAATTCATTTGCAGAATTCATTCTAATAAGTATAGTTTCATCACAGTAAGCAGACATGTTTCTTCAAAAAAGAAATACAGAATATCTCTCCCTTCTCTAGGGACAAGCTAACGTACAACTTGCATGGTTATAGGAATCACAGAGAATGACCTGAAATCCATCTCTGCTGATTTCTAAATGTGGAAGTATCTTCATCTTCACCTGTATTGTAAGGATGATAATAATATCTAAAATGTGTGTGGTGAAGATATATCTATAGATAAATCTTCATTTGTGTATTTGTATATATTTGTATATATGCCTTTGTGTGTGTGGACAGGGAGGGAGACAGGCAGACAAACAGAAAGAAATAAACATAAAATAGCTATTAATTTATCTCCTTTCCTTAGTTTGGGGGTCTGACAACTCTCTAGAGTCTCTGAGTCTATTGAACACTTCGGCTTTGCAGAAGCTAAAAGTAGGCCCTTCTTTATGTTTTCCAACATTTTAGAATAGGGGAATTATGGGGAGGCAAGGAATTCTTTCAAACAGACCCCCAATGCTGGGCTCTCTGTTTCTAACAGTTCTTACCAGACCATGCCTCCTGTAATTCCCTGGTTGTTTCTTGAAAATAAAAAGATATATTTTCCAACTTTGGGGTGGTTACCTGCTCCATTGTCCAGTAATCCCAAGGTAACTGTTTTCCCGTTTGCTGATTCAATCAGGGCTGTGACATTGGCCCTAAGAATTGGTAAGGCTCCTTGACGAACTTTTGCATAAACTCTCATGGGGTTGGGGAATTTGCCTGTGTCCTGGTTCATTCTGGTTTTCAGTGCAATTGGAGGGACAGTAGCACTTGATGCACGGGAGGTGACAGTCAGAGTCAGAGTTTGTGAGCTTGCTTGCAGACTGTATCTCCAAGTCCCAACCTGACAAAAACAGATGCAGACATTTTCAGTAAGCAACATGGGTGACAAAGACCTGGCTTGAGTGTTACCTATAGGAAAAGCCTTTCTGATACAAGCATGTCACAAGCATGTCTGAGAAGATGTGGGCACCTTAGATATTGTCAGCCAAGGCAACCTGCAGTGTGTCTGAACTTATTACATGGTTCCTCTTGTCAAGAAAATCCTGTTTGGGGAAAATAAGGGCTGAAAGCTGTGTCCTCATTTATCATTGCCTTGTTTTTCAAGAGATGAGTTTCTGAGGTAGAGGAAAGTTGTCATGATTTCAAAGCTCCAACAATCACTTTGCATCTGGACTGCTGTATAATTTGAATGTTCTCCATTCAGCATCTGGCCAAACATCACCAACTTCCTTTTCCTTGACCTGCTGGTAGACTAAGTGATTTTCACTGGATAGAAATTTTTCATTGTTTTCTTGATTCAATACTGACTGTCCTTTTGGCAATCACAAACATTAAAAAGCTGCAGTTATTCGGTAATAGCTTTGTTTTATCTTGTCAAATTTCGAGAGGGAATAAAGCTGACTCCATACCTTGGCGGTGCCTGGGATTTGGAGGGAGGCCATTTTGATAGCTGCGTCCACTACAAAGCCACTTTGTAACTTTCCACTGGGATCCCAAAGAAGGATTTGGGGAGGCTGTTTTGTCCAGGTGACAAGAAAGAAAGTGTCCTTTCCCACTGTGCTGTCCACTATTACCGTGCCATTCATCCACTGATTATTGTTCTGGAAGGTTAATCCCTTACTCTCCAGCTGTTAAGAAAAAGAACTTTTACTTTCTGGGGAACACAGATCTCAGGAACTTTTCCACTCTGCCCACACTCCCAAGTGCCCATTAAAAAGTCTTTGTGATGCCTGAGTCTTCAGTCTTTTTGCTGTTTAGGATTATAATAATCCAGTTCTAAATTACTTTGCTAGCCTTAGCTTCCACAATTGTATTTCCCCTACCCAGACAAGACTATTTCCCTCCCCAAAGGTTCCTTACAAATCCCTGACTTCATGATTTTTTGCTTTCCTTTGAAGACTTTGCATTCCTCTCCACTTGTGTGATCCTTATCCATCCTTCCAAATTCAGTTCAAATATCACTCTCTCTGTGAAGATCTCTCTGACATCCATCTCACTTATTGGATGTGAATCACCTTAACTTCCTGTGCACTCCCATCGGATCATTTCTATCAGTCCTTTGATGTTCATCACATCGTACTCTACCTCATAGTTACTAGTACATTTAACTCCTGTCTATAAATCCTTAAGAGGACCGTGACTTATTTCTTATTCATGGATAGATTGCTAGATTAAGCATCACTGCAGTGCATGTGAAGCCAAGGTGAATTTGAAGTAGAACAGAGGGGCCTCAGTTCGGGGATTGAAGTGGGAAAGGATTAACAAGTCTTCTGGAGGAAATGTGATGTGGGGGATTGTCACTTAGGTATTAATCTCCCTGTGGGGACACCTCTTAGAAGACAAGAGTAGCCTGGTCATGGGGCCAGGTTTTCCAGTTTCTTGGGTAAAATGATCCTGGATGTGAAGGGCTCTTAGATACGTTCTTATGACAAGTTGATAAACCAGTCCTATTCATTTCTCTTTCCCTGTTAGGTTTCTTAAATACAAAAATAATTCATAGAAACTGCCTGTGAGCTTATCCTTTCATTGGTGTAAATTACTTTTATAAGATTCATTGCTTTCTTTTCCAAACCAAGCCCTTGCATTTAATTTTCTGAACTCTGGCATAGGTTAACTTGGATAGATATAATTATTGTCTTCCTGGATGGAACAAATGCTACATTAGTAGACCTGAAACCCTGTTGTTTTGAAAGCTGTCGATTTAGGCTTTGATATTATAGTATTTCTTTATCTTTACCCAAACTTTATAAATGTATAAAAGTTATAATTCATACCAGGGTGTGTGCTGATCACTTACTTTTTCTAGTTTAAAGATTCATGTAACTTCTACATCTACTAGAAAAGAGCACTTTAAAATACTTGTCCTTTTAAAAAATAGTCTCAAGAACTTTCAAAAGATAATTTGGTCTTCTTGAAACTTTAGAAACAAATGGGCCCATGGAGGTTTTCTGGTCTATACCTAGAGAGGTACAGTTCTTGGCCCTGGTCAGTAAATGGCAGACCTGGGTTGAGGTTCCAGTGTCTGTATGGACAGCACAGGCTTTCCACCGTGAAAAGTGCTTTCTTTCCATTATATGAAAATCCTGGCCAATATTAGGGATTTGAGGTAGTGGAAAAATAGAACAAGTAATCCCCTGGACACTTGTCCCAGAAAATTCATAATTGAGACATTCTACTCTAAAGAAAATACTCAGCCAATTTTACTGCTGTGTGTTTGTTAGCAGATGTTTAAAAAAAAAATTCTAGACCCATTACATTTTATATTGCTGGTTTCTATGAAGGAGTCACTTAGTTTTGTTTCCAAACAACTAAACACTAATTGCCTGTTTAGATGAGTAGTTTTATACTTTAGGAATAATATCTAATACCAGGCTGAATCTTCTAATTTAATTTTAATTAACAAATAGAGAATGTAGAACTTAAAAATTTTAAATATTAAAGTCTCCATCTTGGCTATGATTATGTATAAAAATGAAAAACAAAAAAGAAAGAACTCCAACCTGGATGGAGCTCTGAGAAGGAGCTCCATTTCCTGATGAGAGGGTCCCGAAAGCGTCAAGGAGGCCGTTGTTCTGAACTTGATCTGAAGCATACATCTGTAAACCTCCTAAAACGCAATCACATCATCATAAGTTATTTTCCAGAAAACAAGAATTTACAATATTTTAACTGTTGTTCAGAAAGAAGAATACCTAAAATAAATATTCCATTGTATTATTATTAAAGTAAAAATAGTTCAACATCAAATATATGCCCAGATTAACTTAGAAGTTGATACTGATTTTTTAACCCTAGTAAATAATAGCTTTAGCAACATCTCTGTCATCTGACTACCTCAACTATCTGCAATTCAACCATGAAGGGAGGCCTAAGTAACATCATACCGTCTGCATTTTTACTTTCACATGAGAGCATTGATTAAGCCTTATTCCAGGTTGATGGACTGAATCTTATTTGAGAAATAATTCTAACAAACTTAGCTTTAGAGTTTTCATCAAAATCAGGAAAGAAGTGGCAATAGCAATAAATAACAGTAGACAAAGGGCAGTTTCAGAAAAGTAGGCTATACAGAAAAATAAGATTTAGATACTAGACCTGTCAGTCTTGGGCTCTTGAGGATAAATGTAACTATGATAAGTTGATGTGAAATTATTTTTAAACTATTTAAATGACACCCAAAGTTAAAGAAAATATATTGGAAATGCTTTTGATGTCCCACACATATCTCCTTATCTAGGCGAATGCATCTCTTCCTGTTGTTCTGAGTGTTCACTACTAACAGCTATGGTTGCCTCCTTTTCCAAGAACCACTTTACCAAAAAAGGTCATCCTAGTTAGAAAAGAAAAAGACTCTCCCCTCTGTCCTGCCCTAACAGTTCACAGCCAGTGGCTGTTGGACACAGCAATACAAAAGGCAGCCCTCTGGCCTCCTGGTGGGACCAACTCTATGATGCAGTTCCTGATCCAGAGCCCCATCAGGGGTCAGCCTTTAGCTAGGTTCTAAGTCTGCATCCATGCTTAGCCACTTGCCCCTCTGTCTTGTTTCCTCACTTTGTTTTCCCTGAGAGCTGTTCCTCTACAAATCCTATCCACCCAAATCCCTGTCTCAGGCTTTGCTCATAGGAAACCCAGCTCAGGACAGGTAGTGTTGGGAGTCTCCCTGAGAACTCCCCGGGCCTTTCAAACATGGCGGTGGGCAAATTGCCATTGGGCAGCTAGAACTCCCCGGGCCTTTCAGATAAGGAGCCCCTAATGCAACATGGCAGCGGGCAAGTTGCCAGTGGGCGGATAACAAGTTGTTTTGAAAACCTTCTAATTGGCCCTCCCGTCTTCCGTACACGTGGACAGTTCGTGCCCCCCATGAATCTTATGCAGGGCGGACGTCACCTTAGGTGACGAACTGACCTTTACTATGATTGGCCCCGGGAGCTTCCTGGTTTAAGATAACTGACTCTCACTTTCTATTTAAGCTAGCACCAGCTTGCAGTAAAGTGCTTCATCTTTGTCACTGCTATCTGTGTGTGTGCATTTTAATCTCCGATGACGAACCTTGGCCTTTCAGGTAGTATTAGGCTTGAATGGTCCAACATTTTAGTTGCCCCAGAAGGAAGATTAGTTTAATAATTTATATCCCTAATACTATCACTAAGTAAAAGAAGAGGAAAAACATTGTGCTCACCTACTCAGCTAAAGAAGCCAGGGACTTATGGGGTCTCTTTGAACCATCTGTTTGCGTATGGGAGTTAGATATACAATACGTTAATGTTTCATGGAGAAACTGCATTGTCTGCTACATTTTCAGAGTAACCTTTATTGTTCACCAGACTCTTTGCCCTTCCCCTGCTGTTTTCCCTTCCTTCTCCGGCCCTTCTTTCTCAGGTAAAGTTAAATACTCTATATTTGTGTGCTTCATTATACTTTTTTAAAAAAATATTTTTAGTTGTGGATGGACAAAATAAGTTTAATTAATTAATTTGTTTTTATGTGGTGCTGAGGATTGAATCCAGTGCCTCACGTGTGCAAGGTAAGCTACAACCCCAGTCCCTTTATCATACTTCCTTTTGTTAATATAGCACTTGTACCATGGTAGTATGTAGTGGCTTGTCACCTGTCTCCCCTGGGTCTCTTGGCCTGCTGCCAAGTGGAAATCTGCCAACTGGTAGATTTCTACTAATTCTTATAAGATGCCTGGGAAGAGTGTCCTGAGTTCTTACTTGGTACTGTGCTGGTCCCATCTTCTCCAGAATTCTCTAATCCTAGAACCAAGGCTCTAAAATATGGGGGTGGAGTCAGTTCTAATGGCCATTTGAAGGAAGAGCAGCTAGCTGGCCAAGAAGATTACCCCATCTCACTTCATCCCACCTTCCCCTGACTCCCCAGTTCACTGGAGCTCACAGTCTGGTGGGCCTCAGCAGGTCATCCCTCACCTGTCATTTTGGACAGCTCCTCTAGTTCTTTAGCCGCAGAGGGCCCCAGGGCGACTGTATGGATGATGGCTCCACTTTGCTTCACCTCATTAAAGCAGCTGCTTATAGTGTTGTCCTCCCCGTCAGTCAGCAGCACGATTTCAGCTCCATCTGTAGAGTATTTCTTCCTAATCACCTAAAGACATATTTCAGGGCATGCATTAGCAGACTTCCGGTGACCAGGGTGTTTATGAAAACTGCACTTTTATGGAACAAGAGGAGAAATTCCAGAGGAAATAAACAAAAGTATCTGGGAGCATCCATGAATCTGTTTTGCAATGGTATAATTTTAGAGCAGCAACTCACAGAGAGGAGTGCTAGGGGATGCAGGGCAGTTCTAGGGGTGGATGGTGCTAGGGATGCAGCAAAGGTTTTTCTTATTTTCTTTGCCAGGGCTCTCTTTGCCAGGCTTCCAGAAGATCCGAGACACCTTTAGAAAACATCCTCATAAGTGGGGGTTCTATTTGGGGATATTGGACACAGGGAAGATTTTTAGCTTGTATGATATTCACCAAACAATATCAACTATTTATGGCTGGCATTGGTTCTGATTGGTCATTACTCATATCATAGGAGTAATTAAAAATTTTAGTAGCCCTTCTTATTAAAGCAAAACATTTTGTTCCTATGAATCCCCAATTCCAAGTTTTTCTATGACACCTATATTTCAAATATCCCTGTTAGACTCAGATTTATAAATATTTATATATATATATATATATATATATATATATAGAGAGAGAGAGAGAGAGAGAGAGAGAGAGAGAGAGAGAGAGAGAGAACACTCATACCAAGGTTGAATAAGACTAAGATGGGTGGAAAATTAGATAAAGAATTTGTGACCCATTTAAACATATAAAGGCAAGAATCCACTCTTCCCCTAAATGAGAATGAGTTGAGAGAGAGACTCAGAATCAGAGGAAACAATCAAGCTTAGGCTTGACAACCTCCCTCTCTGGACAAATCTCAGAATGGGAAAGTGTTATAAGTAGTTGGAAGGGAAGTTAAGGGCAGAGGAGGCTTGTGCCCACTCCTTATTTGAACTCTGAGGAAGCAACCAAAGAAGGCAGCTGATAACATGGGAAGAGAGCAGAACTGTGGCAGTGGCATGTGGACGAGGCAGAGCGGAGCACCTGCCAGTTGTCATCATGGCCTTGGTCTGATCAAACTACACATTTCTGTTGCCACTTAGAGAGCTGGAACAGCTCCAATATGTATCAAATATGTGTGTTGTGTCCAAGGAGCAGGTAGAGGGCAGGGCCTGGGAAGCTAAAAAAATATGGCCCAATTTGGATTTCCTTGTCTCCCTCCTCATAATTGCTGTGTGTCCTATAAAACAGAAAGAAGTTCTCACATCTCACATCTCCCACAGGGAAGATGGAAGGCAATAGAGTTGAGTCAGCAGGTGAGAACAGGTAGTCCTGCCATGTGGCTGAGGAATGCACAACCTGGTTGGAGCTAGATGGAGGACACAGGGTGCTCAGGGCTCTGCTCCAATAGTGAGAGCCAGGGTGAGGCCAAGTCTGCTGGGGAGGACCGCTGGGCCCTGGTAGAGCCTAGAGAACAAAGCAAAGTCTTATAACCACACAGATACCACTGCCAGGAGCCCATGACAGGCCTGACCAGGGTCCTGCTGTGGGGACCAGCACAGATCTGGAGGACAGTGCAGAACCCAAGACCCTTCATCTTATTACCCTGAAGTCACATAAGCTCCTCCACCCCATGTTCAGACTCCACTGGGGAGGAGGAGCATTCTAGACTCCAGTTGTATCTCACACTCTCCCTCACTCATCTAAATGGAAAATTTTCTCATCACTACCACTCCATCTGGCATGAGTCATCTCCCCAGGGTTTCATATAGCAGGAGTTCAGTGCAGCTTACAGTGATTCCATTGGTCAGTGCTCCTACCTCACTTGCTCCTTTGCTTGAGTGACAGAGGTAACAGAACCATATGGTATCTATCTGCCTGGTCTGGAAGAGGAATTGGCTGCTAAATTCGTGATTAAAAGTACTTTTAAGAAAGTACTTCAGAGTGGAATAAAATAACCAGAGGGATAGACAACACTGAGAAATTGGTTCAGTCCAGTGTCCACATCAAACTATGTAAGCTGGAAACTACACATTTCTGCTGCTACTTGGAGAGCTGAAACAGGCCCAAAATGCATCAAATATGTGTGTTGTGCCCAATGAGCAAGCAGAAAGCAGACCCACTAAGGTGTTGTGAGGTTGTGTGACCTTAGGCCAGCCCACCTTGTTCAGCTTCCTGTTCTTTGTTTTATGTAGCTAAATAGCCCCTAAATAAATATAGGATATTTAGTACAATTAAGCATCAGGTGGTGTTAGGGCATCAAATAACTCAATTTATTTACCAAGAACATTCTGACATTGGGCCAGAAGCCTGGGAGGTAAAATGATACTCTTATTCCTAAAGGAGTTTTGTTTGAAACACATAATTAGTTATAAGACAGAAGAGCCTAGAAGTCTTAAGAGGTTTTTGGGTTTTTTAAGAGCTATAGGATTCAGAAAGAGAGATTCCTAGACAGTTGAGAGGATAAGGAATGATATCAAGAAGTAGATGGTATCTATTCTTTGAAGAATGAATGTAATCAATGGGCAAGGAAGGGAAGAGAAAGTACTGTGCTTGAGGAGGCAGCCTGGCAAACATCCAGATGCTTTGAAGTGAGCTGACTCAATTTGCTTAAACAAGGGATACCAGGAAGAAAGTCCCCAGTGCTTCAGCCTGGAAAGGTAGGTTGGAGTTTTATCACAAAAATTCTCAGGAAGTTTTACATAATTTCATTGAAAATGGGGATACATTGTTATGTAAGTGAGGGATGATGTGGTCAGATAGTCAGACAAGATCTTTAGCTATGACCCCAATACAATCGTAGTTATGGTTCCTAAGGCCTCCTGATTCAACAAATTATTTTCTTTCTTAAAAGGTCATCCAATGTCTCCCAAAGTTTGGAGAGTTCAGTTGCCTTGGAATTTCAACATTTTTATAGCTTTTTTTTTCCCAATAAAAGATAACTCTTTAAGATCCTTATGTACCTTTCCTTCATAGCACTAATTACAGTTTATGAGTATACATTCATTCATGTTACTATATGGTTAATACATCTTCCCCAATAATATTGTAAGGAGGTAGCTCTCTGTTTGGCCTTCATAGTATTCTTAGAGCCAAGAAAATATTTGGCATGTAGAATGCACACTTTGAATATTTTGAATGAGGTATACTTGCAGAAAAGTACAAAAGCATGAATGAATTAGTTAATAATAGCTTTGGAGGCCTTTTTCTTTGCATCATTTGAACTATTACTTTGTCCTTGGTTGTCTAAATCAATTAGACAGTAGGTGTGTATGGAAATTTCTTAGGAACAAAAATGGCAAACATTGGCAAACTGCTATAGGGGAATATGTCTCACAGTAAATGCCGATCGAAGCCCAGAGCAGATGGATGTCCCTCCTGAAGGTACTGTGGGTAAGCTTCTAGTGAGAACATCCCTGTCGGCGTCACTGTTAATCTGTCTGAGTTCACTTTGTACATAGGCGACACTGTCGAACATCACCATCCCAACCCAGGAGCCCTGTTCCACGGTGTGCAGCAGGAAAAGCTTCCCTGCTTGATTCATCCGGTTAAGGCGGTTAGCATTCTGAGTGGACAAACAGAAGAAGAGCAGTCAGGTTGGGGTTACAGGAAAAGACTAACAACAACAGGCTAGAGGGTTTTTGGAAGTGACTGGCTCAATGCACAGTAACTGACAAGGAGATAACTTGAGGCATGTCATACTGGAAATTTTTTCCATTTAGCAGCATCTTTGGATATAATTTTAGGACTAAAATTCCAAAAGTAAACCTAGAATACACAATCATTAAAGTACAATGCTTTAATAATAGTTCTAGATAAGTCCTATATAGGACCTTATAGACCGATAGACCTATGTATTGTCAGTGAAACAAAAAAAAAAAAGTTACGCTTATGTTATGATTTATCAGATCTTGGCTTATTAGCTGAAAACAATTTAGAAAATGAGACAGTTAATGCCAGATCACTGTATAGGTGGGCATTTCTGATGGCTGAGCTGCTATTGTAATTGCTCTGACCCTGGCAGTGTATTCATCCCAGTCAGTTCCAAGTTGTGGTCTAGATCATGTTGTACCCCTATCTATAACTAGCAACCAAACCAAGACTTGGTGACCATACCGACATGCTTCCAGATTTATCAAGGACTAAACACACAATTCGTTGTCCAATCTGCAGCAGTGAGAAAGTGGGATTAGGTGGCTGTGTTGTCATAGGAGTGGTTTTCTTAAAGTCCTCAGACTCGCGGATCACTTCCCATGTGCTTCGGAGATTGCATTTTTGGTTTTGCGAGTTTGGAGCTTCTGAGTTGTGGTTTTGTTCTGTACAGAATTCAACCACCTGAAATTGTCAATAAAATGATGTAGACAATAGTTAAGTATTTGTTAAGATATTTAATAACGTAAAACCCCTGCCTTTCTCCCCAGCCTGCCCTGCTCACCTGGAACCTTGGCTCCACTTCTTGTAGAGCACTGCTAAGGAATCAGAGCTGTAAGTCAGAGTTCCTGTTTCAAACCATATCTTTCACCTCATTGGACCCTCAATGCTCCTCAGCACCCACTTACCGGCTCTAAGTGTCTTCCTTTCTACTCCTCAAGTTTGGTATATCTCCTGATGCCATCTTATCTCTCCAAACTTGCACCACCTCACTTACCAGCACCCTGCATTCCAACCTTCAACACCCAATATTCCAGCTCCAAAATCTCCTTGGATGTCTCACTGGCTCCTCAAACTCCATGTGTTCATAAATTCCCTCATCACTTTTCTCCAGCATTATTACCATTCCTCATATGTTTCCTAACTTAATGTTACCAGTAATGCACCCAATCACTCAAATCAGGAAACTGGGAGTGTTCTTATCTGTTTTCCCCTACAGGATAACCAAGAGTGATACATTTCACTCTCCAGTTCATCTTCTTTTCCAGTGGAATCTCTAACATCCAAACCCTTACCGTTCCTCCCTCAAACTACTGCTATCTCCTATCTGTCTTTTCCATTTGTTTTCCCTCCAACTGGTCTACCCATAGCAGCCTCTTTCCTCTTACCCTTGTATATAATACCCTTTTGAGATTCACTGTTGCTCACACAACTATCAACTGGACTCCTTCACATAGCAAAATAGCAATCTCTGTGATTTAGATTGCTGCCTCACTCTCCATCCTCATTCTGTGTGTTCTTCTGTCTCTAATTTTTCCCACTATAGCCTATTAGTTTCTAAACTTGCCAGACTTATGCCTTTGCTTGTGGTACTTTGTCAAGAAGTTCCTCCTCAATCTTCTGCATTGTAAACTGTACCTTTATTTTTAGCTAGAGGTTTCTAAATGTTTTTTTAATTTTCTGTCCTTCCCTAGAGAATTTCCACTAAACCCTTTGTGGCCTTACAAGACAATGTAGAAACCTTAGCAAGTACCCTCTAACATTATAGCGCATTTATCTAAGGAAGAAACAGGTCTCATTAAATTTCACTTTCTCAAAATTTTGGCTCAGTGTCTGACAAATAACAAAAGCTCAATGTAAGTTTGAGTACTGAAAACACATCAAGTCAAACTCAGAAGGTTAAGAATTATATGTTTTCTCTCATATGTGGAAGCTGGAGAGGAAAAAGGAAAATAAAGGTATGGGGAGTGGACCTCCTAAAAATCAAAGGGATATTAGTAGAGGAAAGAGGCCAAAGTGTGGGAGGGAGAGAGAGAAGGAGGAGGAAAATGCTGGGGAGTGATATTGGCCAAATTATATTGTTATATTGTGCGCTTGTATGAATAGGTAACAATAAATCCCATCAATATTTTGGTTTATAATGTACCAATAAAAATATGGAAATAAAAATAATTACTGTTTATATTACTGTTAACTGCCTAATCTCCCTAGGTAAATGCCTTATATAACTAAGAATTTTTGTGTTTGTATGCCTTTAAGGACACTTGAAGTCATTCTAAATCCTTAAAATAAAAGCTAGTAGGAGAGAGATGGTGGAGAAGAAAGAATCGACACAGGAAGCAGTGAGGGAGACGCTGTGATTTTACCCCTGAATATGTATTCGCAGCTAGTCCCAAAGAGAATCAGGTGATTTTTCCCTAAAGCTGATGGTTTCCCTGAAAATTTCCCTACACTTAATCTTCTTGGAGCACCTGCGGGGGGTGGGGTGGGGGCAAAAATCTCTAAATTCATAAGTGTGGGGAAAAAGTTGAAAATAAGGTACTTACGGAACCAATACTTTGTTGGAACATTATGGAAGCCTTCTCAGTCTGTTGCGTTTTGGGTACGAACTCACAGTTTTGTTCATACAATCCTGTTAATTTGTCTATTCTGCAAGGTTTGGTGATACAACTTCCTCCCTGGCACTTTGGAACTCCATGGGTACCAGTAATAGCTGCTGAACATCTGAAAATGTGTTGAGGTTAGATGTTTAGGAAATAAAATATTCCAAAGCATTATACTCTGTGTTCAGTCTCTGACAAATCGCCTTGTCTATGATTTGCTCTCATCATCCAGGAAAGATGCCCTTACATAGCAAAATTATTCAATTTTCATCAGTCATTTATGTTTTTCAGAAAGCATCTGAGGGCCTCCCAAAACAATATCAATATTTATTTCCAATAAAAAAGTAGAAAAAGAAGATTTCATTTTTATGCAGTGAAAAGCTAAGTCTAGTTTATGGATGCTGTATTAGAAAGGATCAGAGTACTTAGGTACCTTTTCATCTATTATCATTCCTAGAAAATCAGGAGCCCTCTTTGTTTTCCCCAAAAGACTTGCTGAAATTTCCTGTTTGTTAATTTATTTTTTCTCATTTTTCCACATTGTTTTTGCATGGTTCTTGTATATTCATGGATATTTAAACTTTTTATATTGTATGTTTGATGTTTGGTGTTATGAATGGAGTGTTTTCCTCCTAGATCTTACTTTTTAATTATATTTTTGAGTATAAGCAATACATGAATATTACAGAATATTTGGAAAATCACAAATATAAAGAATAAAAGAAAAAAGTTCTCACCATCAGAAATAAACTACTGTTAACATATGGAAGTATTTTGTGCTCTGTGTATTAGCATTAGATTGCACACACACTGTTGTTTTATGCTTTTAGAAACCTGAGTATGCTAGCATATTTAAATTTTTAATAACAATTTTAATATTCTTTCAAAATGCGATTTTAATAGTATCATCTTTTGGTACTATAATATAAATTCAAGCTAATTTATTTAATTTTGTTTATCCCCTAGTTTGTCAGTATTAAAAAGAAAGAATTAGTAAACAAAATTTCACATAAACTTTTGACTATATTTCCAAGTTTGCCACATGATTGACTTCCAGAGTTAAATTGTCAGATCCAAAAATTTGAATGTTTTAAAATTGATATGACTTGTTCTATCATTTCCTTAAATGAATTTTTAAGTATGAAATTGCTGGGTCAAGAAAAAATTTAGAGAATTGATAAGTATCTCTCAAATTACTTGCCAGAAAGTTGCTCCAATTTTTGCCTCTAACAACTATCCGTGGGAGCTCTCGATGTTGTGATAGTAACTTACTAGGTAATAGATGAACCTCATCTTTGTCCAACTTGCATGTCTTTGATGCTAGTAAGTATAAATATTTTATATGTTTATCAGCCATTTTTATTTCTTCTTTTGTGAATTATATATTCTTCTCTTTTGCCAATTTTTCTGTTAGGTTTCACTGAATTCCCAAAGTTCTTAATGTGTTATAATACTAAGCTTCAAAAGACATGTTTTGAAATTTTTTTTTCAAACTTCTATTTTTACTTGTTCCAATTTATGTTCGGTTTGTGTACAGCAAAATTTTAAATTAGTAAGTATTTATTGTTCTTTTATTATGTCTTTTCCCAATTCTTAAATGCACAGAAAAGCCTTCATTACATAGAGATTTGCAGTTTATTCATAGGCTTATGGTTTGCATTATCATTTTTTATATTTAATGAGTCTATCCAATTGGAAGAGTCTCTGTTAATTTTTATTCCATAGTTAAATTTTTTTTCTGGCATTTTAAGAAATACTAACTTTCCTTCTAGATTGGTAATTCAAAGTATATTAAATAGTTAATTATTATATAAACAATTGCCTGTCTGTCCACATTGTTTAATTAGTGTAGTTTTATAGTATACTTTCAAGTTTGGTAAGTAAAAGTCCCCTTTATTATGATTCTTTTTCAGAGATGATATTAATTGAATGGACCCCAGGATTTTAAAGTGAAGTAATAAAGAATGGTCTTTTGATGAGAATTTCATAAAACCTACATATAAATTTTGGTTGAAATTCATATATTAAAAGTCAATTTATCTTGGTTTGCTTTTAAATCCTTTAGAATGATTTTATAGTTTTCTTCAAATATATCTTCCAGATTTCTTAAGATTTTTTCCTATTGAATTGCTATGCTGACTGGAGTATTTTTTCCATTATATTTTTGAACTCATTATATTTCAATAACAATATATAAATATATTCTATTTTTTCTAAGTGGGCCACATATCACCTGCAAAAAAAGCAATTTTCTCTCTTTCTTTCTGGTATCCCCCCTTTTTTTTTTGTACCTCCCCAGATTTATGTTGTTGCCTTGGCTACACCTTCCTAAACAAATTTAGATAACTATGATTATAATGACCATCCTTATCCTATTCCTAGGAAGTGTTTCTCAATTAAATATACTATAGATTGTTGATTTTCATAGATGTTCTGTATCATGTTAAGGAAGTAATCTTCTGTTCTGCAAAGTATTGTCATTTTTGTGATTTCTCCTAGGCTTTAAAAATAATTTAAAAGTTAGGAAGATAAGGAACAATATGTATTATTAATATATGGAAATTTCTTTTTAAGAGGACATGCCAATCATGTCCACTTTACTAATGTAGCATACATAGCCATTTGTGTGCCATTTGGAATGAAGAACATGCTGATATGTAGATATTTCTGTAATATCTCATAAAGGAATAGGTACTAATCAGACTTTCTCTCAAGGGAAGATATGGTGTCCAACCTTCTAGAAGCTTAGCAAAGGGAAACAGGAAAGGCAGACATCAGGTTTGGAATGGTGCCTATTGGCTGGGATTTGAAAGGTCAGACCAATGTATGATCATCGCAGGCTGTAGTGTCTGTAGTGCCAAAGGTATATGCTGAAGGAATCTGATAGACCACGCATGGTGCATGGTTCTAGGAATCAGCAATGTACCTAGTGTTCATTTATGGCTGAAGGGTTCCCAAGAATGAGGAACAACAATAGAAAGCTCATGCCCATAGAGCTTGACTGTAGTAATGAAAAAGAAAAGTAGGGAACAGTAATGCTCATGTGGGAGAAGTGTGTGTGTGTGGGGGGGGGGGTCAAGCCTGAGTTCTGAGCCTTTACACCATACCACCTGCTCCAGGTGGAAATGACTGTATCAAATCAAGATTGTGAATGAGGTGCTGAGGATCTAGCTCAGTGTTAGCATGTTCACTGAACATTATGAAGCCCTGGGTTTAATCTCTAGTACCACACCCCCCAACACACACTAAATAAATAAATAAATAAATTCTGCAAACCAACCAAAGCTGAGTACATCTCCTAAAAGAGCCATCATCTGATTAGGACTGGCAGCAGAAATGAAAAGGGTGTTGTACCAACTTTTGCTCTTTAAAAAGAGTTTATTACTTTTTAACTCAAGAATAAATGTGAAATTTTATCAAGTATCTTTATGAGAATCTATTGGAATAATCATTTATTTTTTAGCTTTACTTTAGGTACTACACTAGTTACTTCCCTAATTTCACAACATTGCTGAATTGTTGGAAGCATCCTATTGAGCCTTAGTGTGTTTCCTATTCCTTTAATTCCACCAATTCTTGGATCTTATTATCCTTTCATTTAAAATCTTTGCCTCTGATTTCTACAAAGGTGTACACAATTTTTTCCAACTCATCTGTCAGGTTTTAGTATCTGAATTATTATAGCTCTTTAAATTGGCAAGTTCCCTATCATTTATGTTTGTACTAAAGCAGTTTATATATAGGGAAACTGTATAGAAGAACTTCCCCATAAAACCATGGCAGCCAAGCATACTTTATAAATGTGATTCAGTTTGTTTTCTACTGATACTACATAGAGTTTAGTTCAAACTGTAAGGTGTTTTTGTCTTATTTCTGTATTGTTTTAGTGCTGGGTATTGAACCCAGGGCCTCAAACATGCTAGGCAAGTGCTTCACTGCTGAGCCACATCCCAGCCTTTGCTTTACTATTTGGATTGTCTTTTAGCTAAGTTCCACTGTCCCTACCAGGCCCATTCATACTAACAAAAGTCCACAGAGACATCTTTCTGCCTTAAAGAGCTCCATTAGTTCTTATGTCACTGACAGGAAATGGAGACATTTCACATGGTGACTGTAGGCATATGATAGTTGGTACACTTAAGTAAAAGCCAATGATTTCTAGTTGCAAAATAGAGAACTCGATTAAATGAAGAACTTGTAAAATAAACAAAGTGGTAGTTTCATTAAAAGATGAAAAAGAATGCACTGAGAATGAATTAGAGATAGAAAACAAGACTGATACTTTTAAATTAATCAAGTTAGGGGAAAATGTTTGCATTTTAATACCTTACTGCTTGCGGTTTTCCGTTGGATAAGTAGAATTTCTGGTTATCATTGTATTCTTCAAATACTCCCCATTGTAGATGAGCCCACTCATGGACAAAAACCCTACCTGTGAGAAAATATTTCAAACACCTGAGTACAATAAGAAGTGTAGCATAACCTTCTCGCACTGGAAGAAAAGTTAGTCTTCTAATGTTTTATGCTTTGTGATATTTTTTTTCTTTTTTATATTAGAGACTTTGTTTCCTGAGAATGGTCAAATATGACAAGTGTACATTTTTGTAAAATACAAATACTTATTTTGGGTCATCAGATGTTAACCAGGGACCTAGTAAATGTCAGTTGGCTCTTCATGAAATCTAAACTGCTTTCCTGTCTTTTCCTGAGGATTTAGGCCTTGCTCCTCTCCAGAGTTTATTTCCTATTGTTCCCTACCCATTTTCAAAATTCTCTGTGCTAAATTCTTGAACTTTTACATTCCAGGCTACCTCATGTTCTTGCTCATCTCTGGTTTATAGGTTTTTCTCTTCTTGGAATCCCTCTCTTTATTTCTGCCAGGATACCTCCTGTTCTTTAAAAATCAAGCTTCTGTCCACCTGGAAGCCTTCCTGGACATACTCAGACTAGACCATTTTTCTTTTATTATTCCAATTATGGTGCTTGTTATATTGTCATTCTTCCATAATCTTGCTATTTTCCCACACTGGAATCCCATTTGTGAGAACAGGCAATATGACTTTTTCTCTGCCAAATCCGGGCACATAGAGAACAACAAAGACATACATTTGACACTTTTCTGACAAGTGCTCTAGTGTATTTGGGGGTGGGGCATGGAGACACCAAAGTCTTTTGTTTGTTTTCTCTTCTTTGTCTAAGTAAAGGAAATCAAGCCGATTCTAGAGACTTCAGGTTAAAAAAATATATAATACTAGTCATTTAGTAAATCACAATTGATTATACTTGGAAAGCATACATTATAAATACTTTGTTGCTTATTTTAATATTTCTTCCAAAGACTGCTCTATATAGCTCATAAAGAAATGATTAAAAGTTTCTTTTGTAAAAGAAAATTAGGCTTTTTCTTTATCTTTTGAGAGCTGAACTGTAAGGGTATTTATTCTTTTTTGCTACTCATTGTGGCACACAGACCAGCAGCAGCAGCATCACTGGGAGCCTGTTAAAAAATGCATGTTACTGAATCCCTCTGCATGTGCACTGAATCAGGACCTGCAATTTTTTTTTAGAACCTGCATTTTGAGAAGATCTAGTTATATTTGAAAACATAAAAGTCTGAGAGTACTGTTGATATGTGCCATCTGGTGGCTACTATATGAATTGCAGGAAGAAGGTTTAATTCAGGTGAGTCTTGGATCTACAAAAACTTCATACTACATATTAAACTATTTTACAGCTATTACCTGGTACTATAATAATTTTCAAAATTATAACATTAAATTTAAATATCTTAAAAAATAAATTATGTCTGAGAAATGCACTGTTCTGAATTCCTGTTTCACATGGAAAAACATGCTTTGTCAGTTTATAGTAGTGTAATTTGGCTTATGTGGGCTACTCACAAAGATAATGCTATTGTTTATCCACTTTTAAAATATAATGATTAGATTACGAGTAATATAGTAGAATATTTTCTTTGTACCCATACCTTGTGGTCCATACTGAGTCAACTTCTTTCCTGCTAAGAAGTCAGGAGTGAAATGAATCCTTTCACCCTTTTCTCCACACCCTCCTATCATCTCAGTATATGGTTTATCATTACCCGGAGGATTAGGTTCAGCAATCAGAACATCAGCCTGAAATTTCAAAAGAGGTTTTGATTATGGCTGCCTTTCAGCAAAGAAACTGACCTTATCATGTTGGAGAATTTTGGAATAATCCGCTTGATTCTAGAGTATTTTGATTTTTTAATATCTAAATTACAGAAGAAAATTGACTTTTAAAAGAAGAACTTGACAATCTCACATTATTATAGGTTTCCAGTTTTGGTCTCACATAATCAGGTTTTGTCTTCCAGTTTTCAGGAATCAAAATGGCAACATTTTTGAAATAGAATCGTTTCCCCGTAGCTTCAAACAGGTATGGAGATGCCTGAGTCACCATATCCTGGGAAGAAAGAAAACATACACAATAATTACATCTGAAAATAGACTAAATTACCAATCATTCAAATTTACATCTGTATTTTACCTTTTAAAAGACTAAATGGAAAGAGGAAATGTGAAATATCTTTCAATAATACCATCTAAACTTTTTGAGCGTTTGCCACATACTTAGTGTCATGGTACAATGGTAAATAGTGGAGACTCTAGAGGCAAATGCTAACCCTGGATCAACCACTTCATACACACATACACACACACACATACACACACATAAACATATATTTTTTTATTTTTTCTAATTAGTTATACATAACAGTAGAATTCATTTTTATACCTCATACATAAATGGAGTATAACTTCTCATTCTTCTGGTTGTACATAGAATTATACCAGTCCTTTTAATCATATGCACATAGGGTAATAATGTCCGATTTATTCTCCTTCCTATCCCAATACCCCTCCCCTCCCTTCATTCTCCTTTGTCTAATCCAAAGTACCTCTATTCTTCCCTAGCCCTCCCCTCATTGTGAATTAGAATATCAGAGAAAATTAGCATCTGCGTATCAGAGAAAACATTTGGCCTTTGGTTCTTTGGGATTGGCTTATTTCATTTAGCAATATATTCTCCAGCTCCATCCATTTATCAGCAAATGCCATAATTTCAGTCTTCTTTAAGGCTGAGTAATATTCCATTGTGTATATATGCCACAGTTTCTTTATCCATTTATCTGTTGAAGGGCATCTAGGTTGGTTCCACAGTTTAGCTATTGTGAACTGAGCTGCTACAAACATTGATGTGGCTGTGTCACTGTAGTAGGCTGATTTTAAGTCCTTTGGATATAAACCTAGGAGTGGGATGACTGGGTCAAATGGTGGTTCCATTCCAAGTCAACCACTTCTTATGGGACACTGGGCACTTCCTAATCCTGAGCCTTAGTTTCCCCATTTATAAAATGGAAGATATTACAGTAACTACCTGATAAGGTTGGTGTGAGGAACAAATGAAATCAAACATGTGAAGCACTAGGAACAGTGTGTACTTGGCACAAATAAGTGTTTATTAAATGTCATCTACTGGTTTCATTTCATTTGATCACTTGAGGATCAATAAATCTTTGGGAGAGTAACAGAATTAGAGAGTGTAATTCTCAAGATCTCACAGCAAATAATATAGAGAAAGCCTCAAGTGAATATAACCTCAACATCTGCTCAGTCTTGTAATAATTTGTGTATTTAATACTAAGTTAAACTAAATTTAATACTAACCTTTATAGTAGTATTTATTTTTGGTATAATACTAGAGATACAAGACAATGGCATTTTTACTTATTTTCAAATTACATGTAACATTATTAAGAACTGTAGCATTAGATGCTTCTGCAGGCTCCCTGAGATGCATTATGACAAGGCAGAGAGAGTTTTATAAGCAATTGCTGTGGAAAGAAGGCATTGGGTCAGCTAGGACTGAGAGTATAAACAGAGGAAAGAAGGGAACTCCATCATTTAGACATGAGCAGAGTAGGAGCCAGCAAAAGGGACCTGGAAGAAGCAGCTAGTACATGTGAAGGAAATCAGAATCCATGAAATGAGACTAAGACATGGGTGAAGTTAGGTTTAAAACCTAACTTCTTGCCCCTGAACAGGTACAAGAATAATGGTTGTCTTGCCAGTTGTTTAAAAAAAAAAAAAAGGATTTTTAACAATTTATATTTTCCTCTTTTAAAAATCCTAACTTTTAACAAACACTAAGATAGCTCAACATCATGTTATTGTACAAAAATTTTTAAATGGAGTAAAAAATCACCAAAACCTTGAGATATGTATGTAAAACTTTCTGAGTATTATATTATATTAGAGTATTAAATTACACTTTGTCTTTTGAAATGTTAACTTTCAGTCTCCCAAGAGGAAGACCAAGCAGTGAAAATGCTCTTGCTTTTCATGTCTTAACAGAAACTTTTGGCATCTGTTCAAAATTTTGAGAAGATCACCTTATATCCAAATAGATATTTAACTCTGGGACTGAGAGAAGGTTGGTGGCTAATGGCTTACAGGATGGACCAAAAAGCCTTAAGGACAGGGATAGTGAACAACCGGATTCTCAGTACATGATGTGATGTAGATGCTCTGTAAATATTTGTTGAATGAATGAACAAATGACTAAATGAATGAAATGGTCATGGTGAGTGGCAAACTGGCACAGTTGTGCCAAGACAGGTGGTGCCTGGGCTCCCCTGCATTGAAGAGATTCCAAAATACTCCCATTTTGGATTGTCTCGCGTGTGTGTGTGCACGCATCTCCCTGACTCTGCCCCATCTGTGAGATTTATTCTCAGGGCTTCTCCAATGCACATTGGCAGGAGTTCAGGTACGGTGGATGGAGCGCCGCAGCGCCCTCTACCGGTCTTGTAGGTGAAGAAAAAGCTTTGAGGACCATCCGGCAGAGCAAAGTATTTAAAACCGACGTGATTCTGCAATCTGTATTTGGGGTAAAATTGGGAGTTCAAAACCCACTTGAATCAAATGTATGAAATATGATATGTCAAGAGCTTTGTAATGTTTTGAACAACCAATTAAAAAAAAAAAAAAAAACTGACTTCAGGACTGAGGAGAGTGCAATTCAGTGGTAGACCGCATGGGTGAGGTTCAATCTTTAGTGTAGGAAGGAGGAAGGAAGGAAAGAAGGAACGAAGGAAGAAAAGGAAAGAGAAGTTGACCTAGAGGCTGTCCTCAAAAGGGCGCCAAGGGGACAGTTCCCCTCCGAAAGGTTATTAAAGCAGAGATTGAGGGGTAGGCAGGAAAGACTGCAAAGCCCATGGTGACGTCCCTCAACTCTGCAGATCTGAAACATCAAATAAGGAGGAATTCACTTTTATTAATGACTCAGGGACTTTGGGCATACCATTACACGTAACTCTATGTGTTCTTGTCACAGAGGAGGAAGTGGTGAAAGCCATCTTATCTCGCACCCAACCCATTTAGTATTCATTCTAGAAAGCCAATTTAATAACTGTAGTTACAAGTACATTTTCCCCAAAGATAGTAAGGTAAAAGTACTTTAAGAGCTCAAATCCAACAGATACCATTGTCCTTAAAGATCTGCATTCTCCTGGCATGTTCTTAACCCACCATCTGGCCAGAGAGAGAAACACATTGGACACATTTTCCTCCTACACTTTTCCTTGTTCATTTTTTCAAGTGTCTTCTTCATTTTTTGCTGATGCCATTTCCAAATTCACAGGAAATCAACAACTCACACAAGTTTTCTGATTATTGAGAAATTTCAAAATGTATGAATTTCCTTTACCAAAGACAGCATGATGGTATTTGGTTTAACTAGGCAAGCTTTATGAGGAGCCCCCTCCACCTTCTGTTCTTCTGTTCCCCATTCCCTGATGCTGCAATACTCTACCCACAAACTCCTGGTAAGCAGAGATGCTTCTCTTTCCAAACTTCACTTTTCTGGGTTTACTTCTGCTTGGAGCAAGAAATCTTTAAGGGAGGGCCCCCTGGGCCCTTGCATTATTAACTTTCCATGTAGAGAGATAAAAGGGGATTGGTAACTTATGGCTACATCTACCCTTTATTGAGTGCTTACTATGTACCAGGCACTATGCATTTTGAAGTTATGTTTTTAAGCTGTTGAGATAACTTCAGACTGCAGAAGACATCCAAAGAATTGTAGAGTTTCTATACACCCTTCTCTCAGCTTGCCTTTATATGCATGCATTTTTATATTGGATCCTCATGGAATTCTATCAGGGAGCTACTTATTATTGTTCTCATTTTGCAGGCTAGCACTCTTACTCATTACACAACACTGCCTCTGGATGTGCTGCAGCCAGATTCCAGGACGGTCTTTTATAAGGCATTTCCCTTTTATTTTTTGCTCTTTGTGGCATGAGATCATCACTAATTCCTCCATTTGTCAGGGATTTAGGCACCTCTGCCAGAATGGGAGGCATTTTTTTTCTTCCCTTTTCCCATACAGGAGGTAACAAGGTAAGGTGTTGCCCTTCAGCAATCCTGAGAGGGCCCCTTTTTTTGAGGCTGATAAAATGCAGGGTTTCCTCCCACTGAAAAGGTCAAAGTTGTTCACAGCTTGCATCCTGGGCTTGTATTTAGCATCACAGGGAAGGGGGTTACATTTAGGAGAATAAAAAAAGAGTCTGCTGTGTCCCAGGGGTAAATCAGTCAAGAGAACTACCCTCTGTGCAATTACATTATCTGCCAAATGTAGCTAGCTAACTCTTAGTGTAAAGTGAAATAATTTTCAGTGAAATAACTCACAGTCAGTAAAAGCAGACATGATTTATTAAGTGCCAACAATGTTTCTGAGTTACATGCCTTACATTCACATCATCCCTTACAAGTACATTAATATCCAAGTGTTATTATTTCCATTTTACAGAAGAAGCTGAAACTCATACAAAAATCTAACTTGCCAGTGTCACACAGCTGAAGTGAGAGAACTCAGCTTCTATCACAATGTTATGCTTGAGATAAAGACTATTAATTAGTAATTACCAAAAAATACCCCCAGATAATTGCCATCTGAACTTACCTTTATTTGTTGAATAAGTGCTTCATCTTCAGGCACATTGGGGTCAATTGCAATGACAATGCTCTCATAGCCATTATTGTTCAGCTGAATGAGGGAATTGCTCAGGGTCCCTTCTAGAAGGTACAGGATCAAGAGGAAGACAGAACTCTTTAATGATCCCATTGCTTTGGGAAATGTGGATTATGGAGACGTCTTTCTTTATCCCTATATATATGTAAAAATATAGACACAATTTTTCAACTTATCAAAGTTGGATTATCACAGAACTTTAACCTCTTGACCTAAAATTGTTTCATTGCATTGTCTTCAATTGGAGAATAAATATTGCTTAGAATCAAGTTGTGTACTTTTAAATGTTTCAGTTTAGGAGGAGTGTTGGGCTTGCCTTCCAGTGCGCCAGATGCTAAAGTCAGGGTGAGGGAGCCCACACCCATTCCCTGGAAACATTCATCCTTGACAAGCAGTCTGGCTATTTAAAGGTTTGTTTACTTACAAATGTTTGCCCAACCAGGGGCACTGACCCACCCAACGCTACCCCCAACCCTCACCTACCCAGGGGAGACTTGGCTGTTCTGCATTTTCAATAAGCATTCACAGTGGTCTTTATTTTTATCCTCATCAAACTTGACATAACCTCAGCCCCTCTTGATGTTCCCCTAAGTCAATCCACTTCCATCAAAAACATTAGCAAGTAATATAGGTATCATTAAATATAAGGGGAAAAAAGATAAAATCTGTGTCTCACTTTGCAAAGAGAACTCCTTCCCTGTCCTTATAAAATTCAGGGTTTCCTCCCACTGAAAAGGTCAAATAGACAAAGATCTCTGCTTTGTCTATTCCACATTTCCTACCAATCAATAAAGCTTAAATTAATATTTACTTTGCTGAAATTAAATGTTACTCCAAACATCAATTTTAAACTGTCAGCTACTTTGTAGATTCTTTTAAGTTTGCTGAACCTCCCATGAAAACCCAAATTAACCACCACTTTCGTGTATTCAAATTACTCAGAAATATCCCTTATCCGAACTTAATTTGGCCTTCATGGAGTGATAAGCACCAATTTCATCTTGTATTTCCCTTTTCTTTGGTTCATTAGTTCATAAAAATTAATTTAGTACCTAAATTTGAGCAACTGAAAATGTAGCATTGAAACAGAGAAGTACTAAATTATAAAGTGGTTGTCCAGATCATCCAAAATATGTCTTTATACAAAAAAGATGAAGACATTTGGTATACATACCAAATGAAAATTTTAGGTTACAAAATACCTCAGACACCCAACTTTATGTATCTTTACCTGAGTTCCCTAGCAAACAGAGCCCAAGGCAGGCTGGCCTGCTAGGTCTCCCCATCAGAGCACAGTGGCCAACTTAGTGATGCTTTTCCTTTCATTACCTCCCAATCTTCCCTGACTCGTTTCCCTTCCCCTCACTCTTACTGCTCTGGGTGTAACTCTCAAATAAACACCCTTGTGTGTTTTGTAAGGGACTGGACAAAGAAACCAGGCCTTGAGCTGTGGCCTTTCGCACAGAAAGAGAGAGCCCATGACCTACGGTGTGTGAGAAGTTAAGGATTCCACAGGGTGCCAGGTGGCCTCAGGGACCACTGGGAACTACAGGGAGTTGATAGTGAATGACTGAGGTAGATAGCAAGTGATTGACAGTCTCATAGACAGAGGGGGTCAAGAAAATCTGATGGTATTTAATAAGATGAGTCTATTCATTAATATGAGTCACTCTTAGAATTGTAACAGACCTGTAATTGTGTAAGAGACCCAATATAGGTTCCTCCACAGATTCGCTTATTCTTCCAGTTGGCTGGGCCTTGACCGTTTTCTCAGTGGAGGGTCCTGGCTGCTATTTATCTGCTAAAACCACTGTCCCAAGGACAGGGCCTTATTAAGTGTGGCTGCCACTGTGTAGGCTGTGGTACCCTTCCACTCTCTGGTGACCAAGTCTAGTGCTAGATTTTTCAGATAAAGCACTGCAAAATGGCAGCTGGAATCCAGCCTGTGGAGAGCCAGTGCAGATGTGCCAAATAACACAAGTCAGAAGTACATGGAGTTAACCCCCTGAGGGATTGCCTTACTCTAAAACCAGAATAAATCCAGCCTCCTAAGTCTCTTTTGTGTTTTCTCAAGTGATACACACACACACACACACACACACACACACACGAGTGACAAGTGAGATATCTATATCACTACTCTGATCTCTACTCTCTCAAAATTAATTAGAGATTAATTTTGCCAATTTTTGAACTTTATTTAAATATGAACTTACAGTATGAACTTTTGGTCTGGCTCTTATGACATAACATTTTTATATTTTTGTGTCTGGCTCTTATGACATAACATTTTTATATTTTTGTGTCTGGCTCTTATGACATAACATTTTTATATGACATAACATTTTATATAAAAATATAAATTTTGAATGAAATTCATCCATAATGTTACATAGGGCAGTAAAGTCTTCTTTTTCCATTGTACTCCATTGTAAAAATAGACCACAATTGACACCATCTGTTGTTGATGAGCATGTGGATTATTTCCAGTCTGCGGCTATTAAAAATAAAATTGCCATGGTTGTAAGTATTGATTTCAGTTGGGTATATGCCAAGAGTAGAATTGCTGGTCACAGGGTATCCATGTATCTAGTGAGAAAGACTTTCTCCTTTGACCAACACTTTTCTCAGGATCCTGAGTCTTTTCTGATTAGGTTTGGCTTGCTCTTTCCTCTGTGACCTTATGGAATCCAGTTTGAGCAAAATCCAATTAAGTCAGTTTAGGAAAAATTCCTGTGCTTGGTATCTGACCACCCTCAACACCTTATCATCATGACCAGCTTTCAGCAATACTATCAAGCTAGTTTAGCTGCAAACTTGTTATCCGTGATACTTTCTCCTAGCAATTTTCCATACCCTGACCTTACCCTGCTCCTTGGTTACAAACCCCCACTAGTTCTTATTGGAGTGGGAGTTAAGTCCAATCTCTCTTCCCCACCAAAATACTCCATTGCAGTAGTCCCTGTATCCATCACCATGGACCCCTCCTACATTCTTTAACAAATGTTTGGATCCCTCAAACACTTTTCAAAGTTGTTCTGCTGTTCCAAAGTTTTACCAGCGCATAGTATTGTTAGTCTTGTTGTAGGGACAAATGAGGCAAGGCACCGAAGATAGCAGGAAACAGTTTTGTTTGGCTGCAGCCAGGTTCAGAGGGCACAGCTTTTGCTTAATCAATTAATCCCCTGAAACTCCAGTTCAGGTAGTTTCAGAGTTTTATACTCAGCGTGTATGGGGAGGAGCTCAGTAGTTCACAGTCTGTAGAAGTTCACATAAAAGCAGCTTTTTCTCTCACTATTTTGTGCAAGTTAACCCTTCAAGGACAACACCTGAGAAGAGGAGAGCTTCTTCTCTTCTTTCTTTCCTATCCCTGCCAGCTGTTACCATGGAGCCCAATTGGTAACTTATCTTAAAAATGTAGACATCTCTGTGAAGCCCAGCTCAAGGCCAGAGGCCTTGTTTGCACATTTCTACAAACTACTATACTGGATATGTTTGTGAAAAACTTGTAAGGGGTTGTCCAGCACCTGGAGTGCTGGTATCTTCCTGGCCAGTGGCCAAGTAAGATAGGGCAACATGAAAACAGGAAGTTTATCTGCATTGAACTCTTTTGCAGAGATTCTTTTGCTGATAGTCCTAAAATCCACCATGGTGAAGATTTCTGGAGAAGCCCAGTTAAGACTTTTCTGTGGAGAAAGGGGGTACTACTTCAGTCTTTATCCATTCTCTTGGTAGTATAGTCATATTGCTCTATGATTTTGCTTCGATTTTCCCTTTTGACTAATGTTAAGCATCTTTTGATATGTGTGCAAGTCGGCTTCTAAAGTCCCTGTTCTATTTCTCGTTCCATTGGTCCATGTGACTATGCTTACCTCAGTAGCATACTTTTCAAGATTATTTGGCTATTTTAGGTACATTTTGCTACAAAATTGAGAACCACCTTATTGATTCTACCAAGAAAAAAAAAATCTGGTGGGTTTGATAGGATTGCACAAAATTTATAGATCAGTTTTGGGAGAATCAACATCTTTATAATGTTGAGTCTTTCAATCCATAGCATCTCTCTTCATTTTAAATTTTATTTTATTTTTCCTCAATTGTGTTTTATACCTTTCAGGGTAGAGGCATTATACAGTTTCATCACATATATTTCTAGAATTTTTTTTTGCAGGGGAACAGCTGTTGTAAATGGTATTTTTATGAAATTTAATTTCCTAATTGTTTATTGACGGTATATGGAAACAATACATTTTTATGTATTGACATTAAATTCAGAGATCTTGCTAAGTTCACTTATTTTTAGCAGTTTGTATTTTTTTGTGGATTTTGTATAATCCACATAAAGTCATGTCATCTAAAGTCATAAAACATGCTTACTTCTCCTTTCCAATCTAATGTCTTTTTTTTTTTTTTTTTGGTACCAGGGATTGAACTCAGGGTCACTCAACCACTGAGCAACATGCCCAGACCTATTTTGTATTTTATTTAGAGACAGGGTCTTACTGAGTTGCTTAGTGCCTCATCATTGCTGAGGCTGGCTTTGAACTCGACATCTTCCTGCCTCAGCCATCCTCAACTGCTAGGATTACAGGTGTGCACCACCATGCCCGGCTCTAATCTTATGTCTTTTATTTATTTGCTTCTCTTCTTGCACTAGCAAGGGCCTCCAGTACAATGTTGAATACAGATAGAGAGAATATCTTTTTTCTTGTTTCCAATTTCAGGGAGAAGAGCATTTCAAAGTATTGTGTATTTCACCACTAAGAATGTTTGTGTCTAGAGATATTTCATAGATGTCTATTTCAGATTAAGAAAGTATCCTTCCATTATTACTTTGCTAAGAGTATTTTTAAAAAATCATAAAATAGGTATTGAATTTTAGCAAATACTTCTTCCATATCTGTTGAGATGATCATTTAATTTTTCTTTATTCTAGAAATTTGGAGAGTTGTACTGATTGACTTTTCAATATTAAACCATTCTTATATTCCTAGAATAAATTCTACTTGATTTTGATTTGCTAGTATTTTATTTAGGATTTTTGCTTTTATGTCATGAGAGAGATTGTCATGTACTTTTCCTTTTGCATAAGG